GTGATCCAAAAATAGTTATTTCGGATCTGGGTGTTTGTCCAAGTGAAATTTATGTTTGCAACACAGGATAATGTTATCCTAAGGTAAGGGCATTGTTTTTATAAAAAAAAATTGTATAAAACGAAGTCGTCTGTCTGTCCCTATGTATGCTTAGATCTTTAAAACTACGCAACGAATTTTGATACGGTTTTTCTTAATAGATAAAGTGATTGAAGAGCTGTAAATAAGAGTTGTCTATAAACTTATTGATTTTTTTTTTTAACTCTTTATTGATTTTATTAAATAAACTTTCTCCGTGGAAATTAGCGCGCGTTTATTCTATTTCTTTTCATTATTATTTTTAAATTACTATGGTACATAAATTTCATTTAAACGAACACGCAGATCCGAGACGATCATCTGCGGCTCACACAAATAGCTAAGTGGCTAGTGTGGGAATCGAACTCACAGCCCGCGACGCCGAAGCCAATGTCCAGTGGCGCATTTCGGCAACAACTGTTGCCTAACCGCGGAGCCATTGAACTACTCGACAATGTGTATTCACGCGCTGGGTGTCTAGTTAATTCGTTCGACATACAGAGATGGGATGCGTTTATCACCATAACTAGGCGTCACGGCGCTTGACGGAATATTATAAATGCGAAAGTAACTCTGTCTGTCTGTCTCGCTTTCACTAGAAAACTAATGAACCGATTTAAATGAAATTTGGTACACGGATAGTCTAGAGCCTGAGAATGGACATAGGCTATTCTTAATTGGAAAAAAGTGTTGTAAAGGGTTGTAAGATATTTATTTAAGGGCTTCAACGCGAGCGAAGCCGTGGACGAAAAGCTAGTACTTAATGTCACGGGAGCACCTAATTACGGGTTAGTGCCGCTTAGGCGCCGTGGCGTATATTCCGAAAACGATGGGACCCCCGATAGCGTCGCTAAACATCTTGCGATGAATTTTGCGGGTGTACTGAGTCTCTTTAATTCAATATACTCGAGCAACCTGAGTTCGATCCCCGGTGCCGGCACCAATGAAGTTTTTAACTTTAAGACATATCGTGAAGGAAAACATCGTGAGGAAACCTGCATATTTTCGAAATAATAACAAAAAAAATATATTCGAAGATATGTGAAGTACGCCAATCCGCAGTGGGCCCGCGTGGTGGACTATGCCCTGATACCCTCTGTATATAGGAGGCCTTTGCCCAGCAGTGGGACATGTACAGGCTATCACTTTACTGAGTCTCGGTTTTTGCTTTTTCGATATTGACTCGCCTTTCAATCTAGACGGTGTAGACAGAAATCGTTTACTTAAGGCGAAAGTGCGGGGATCATTCAGATTTTTATAACCGCCGTGATGAGGGATTTATACGATAACGCGATGCTTAGAAAACGAATTTATTCATATCAAAGCTGTTGCTCGTTTCTCTATACTATAAATAAGCTTTTATTTGTATTTATTTATTATTATTTTACTTTATTGTTTTGGATTACCACACAGCACTTACATAAAATAACCTGTACAATTACACACACTTATATAAACCAACAAAGTTTTCACCATTTATTATAACACTGTGCATCATTTGCATGTATACTTTTAAAGATATTTACATTTAAAACTTTAAAAGTAGTGCGATTATACTAGGAATGTATGTTATACTAAACATATGAATCAGTGAAATTGTATAGCACGACAACGAAATTAATCATATATGAAGGAATTAATCTTGTAACAATATCGGTGTTGCCGAATTGACGACGCTATGCGACATGACGCATCGCGCAAATTATGTCGCTCTGGTAACATTTTTTTCTGTCGTATTTAAGTGTTTTCCGCTCTGCCAACACCAGAAAATTGTTTATAAGGTGCGTGAATGCAGCATTATTTATGTAATTATATCAACGGTACGGTGTTATTTTACATCCTGTCTGCAATTAGCATAAAATACCTCATTAAGATAGATAATAGTGGAATGGACGCTTTGGTTTTCCTTATTGTGTTCGTGTTGCGATAGTTAGATTACACGTTCCCTATTATGCATACTTTGCGGACATATTACGTACGAACATCGTAAAATAAACGTTAATGCCACGAACACGGTAAATAATTTCGATAATGCGACCCACCATTGCATGTAATGTTTACTTTGTTATTTATCCACAGAAACGTACTTCCAATCTTATACTCAACATCGAACTGTTTAAGACTAAAACAGTTCGATGTTCGATGTACTAATCTTAGTATAGATATAGCGTTGTTATTAAAATGCTTAAAAAAATACAACGATAGACCTACGCACGGCTCGGCAATTATTACTTTTACTAGATTGTAATGTGGAGAAAAAACTCGCTTCGAAATGCGCTTCATATCGTATAATAATCCTTTATGGACCGAAATTTCGATTGAAACAACCCCCTTTTACTCGATATCGAGTCAACGTAACGAGCGATCTATTCGAAATAATTGTGCGTGGTCGTTAAACGAGTTAGTGATGCGCGCATTAAAGTCACGATGCAACTGTTGCATTTCTCCAAAGTCGAATACTCATGGATCACTGTGACACTGTAAAAGCTATTACAGCTTGGTCGTATTTATTTCTATCGATATCGGTTGCGAGAAATACTTATTTGTAGGGCTGGGCTGTCTCTAAGAAGTAAAACGCCCCGTTATAAACTATAGAATAACAGTTTTCAATGGATATAAAACGGTAAAAACTAGACTCTTGTAAATAACGTGACCAATTTGTATTTTTTGCGTATAATATTCCTATTCTTTGAGACCTTAACGTAAAATTGAAATAGTTTGGATAATGATTTCGAAAGACTCGCCTAAGAACTGTATATGGACATAGTTTTTAGGTTATCTAATTCACTTCAACATATTGAAGACTAGCTGCTGCCCGCGACTACGTCTGCGTAGAATAGGCTGAAGGCGTAACATTCAGACAGAAAGATAGATATACTTAAAATATGTATATAAATGATAGCCAATGTCTTATTCTGATGTATAAGCAATTTTATTGTAGTTTCATTCAAATCTATTCAGTAGTTTTTGCGTGAAAGAGCAACAAATATCCATCCATACATACAAACTTTCGCCTTTATAATATTAGTAAAGATTAGTATGGAAGTAAGGATATTTTTTTTTATAAATGATTCATACCTTTAATAGATATATAACAATGAGCTTAACTATACGACATTATTGCGTAGAACCTACATTTCGAAATTTTTTTTTTAATCTTAAGGTTACTAACGTGAACTTTATTTATTTAAATTAGTAACAAAAAAGGAGCAAAGTCATCACCTGCACTGAGCCATAACAATATTACGAATGACTTGATAAAGAAGTCAAATAATGAAGCCGTTAGCTATTTTTCAGTCTTGTATAATCTTCGCCTAAGTGGCTTATTTGCGTTTTGAAAAGGCAAATATAAAACCGTCTACGTTTGCTCGTGACGAACGCTTTATTTTGTCGAAGCATCGGGCGAGTTTCCGAACGACTAGTCATTAAATGGTTTTTTTGCACCTCACCAGCACACGGTGCGATGACAAATAACTAATCGCATCTTTCCAAAGCAATTTATCGACTGGAAAGGTAATTTCGTTTTAATTCAAAGGTTCATTGTCATAAATATAGGCTACAGGAGTTTAAAAAAAAATAAACATTTAAAATCTACTTTGGACGTGAATATAATTTAACGTATCAAACCCACCAACGTTAGTTTGAATGTCTCAAAACCCCTAGTTCCATTTTCAAATCGAGTCATTAGTAAAAGAAAGAGCTTTGATAAATTACTTTTTGTTCGCTTCAAAATTATGAATTACCAGAACCAAATAATTACAGTTAATGAGCAAAGGGACGTTACCCTGAGCGATACCATCGACGCTTTCTATTCGAAATGAATTGAAATGGTAATATTGTTTTTGCATGCAGTACATTAGTCATTCAATTTTAATTAGTCCTTTGTACTCTATTTTATAAATTATTTTATGCAATAATTACACAGCGCGCTGGCTTTTTACAAAGATAAAACATTTGTTATATTAGAACTGGCTAGAAAAAGTGTTTTCTTTTAATTTAGACCAAGTTAGTCCTAATATAAGGTCCTTTGTTTACTTTAATCTTATAATGAAAAGTTGATTTGCACATAAGAATACTAACAAAAAATCAGTAATATGCTTTATCGCATGCTAAATCGTATGATAAATTCGTAAGTTATAATTAGTTCATAGACAAAGTTTGATGCTGAGCTAGTGCGTTACCTTGCGTCTGATTATGCTCATTAGGATGGATCACAAAGTCGTTGGATAGCAAGCTTGTCATTAAAAAATGCGCTATATCCCATTACTGTGAGTAAATCGACACCATAAAACGCGATTCGAATGCTTACCCTACTTTGTCGCTAACAACAGCCGTTGATTAGACACGCACACACGCCGAGCGCACGTATTGTCACACACACTAGCGCATGATCCGTGTATAGTTGGCGTCGGCCGAGTAATTACACTCATTGTCACGTAATTACAACCAACATTTGTCATTGCACCCACGCTCGCCGGCGGTCCTTATCTGCGCACCATTAGAGCCCAATTACGAAAGCAGTAAGGTCGCTATTTTGATGGACCGGCGACTCCTCCGCGTTCGCGATGATAGTTCACGATAATTCAGGATCGTAGGATTAACAATTTGTTGTGACAAAGTTACGTCGTGCCCCGTAAGTTGCGGTGGAACGTTGCCAGTATTTTTTTTTAAATCAACAAACGATCGGTCCTCGTTCTCGATCGATGCCGTTTCATCGCGGCTCGACCATTTCGCGGAATTCCCTTTTAACCGTACCACGTGTTGCATAAACATTTTCGGAAAACACTTCAGATGTATTCGCTGGCGAAGATAGATATAACACTAGATGCTTCGCCGCTTACATAATTTGTATTTGTATTAACAAAACTAAGAAAAGTGCAAGCACGAGAAATATTATTGTATCTATATGGGATTTCACTGACCTGTTAATACTGTTCATAGCCGCGGCGCCGGTGTTGTCTCTCTCGTTCCTCTCCCTCGAGCCTGCCACGAACCTGTCGTAGTTCTCCCTCTCCTTGTAGTGCCTGTCGGGGCGTGGCGAGGAGGAGCGACGCCCCTGCATCTGCTGCGTCATGTTGCTCTGCTGCACGGTCTGCAGGAGGCTGTGGTTGGCCTGCGGCTGCTGAAGAGCCTGCAGCAACTCCTGGGCGTTGCCGTTCAGGAAGTTCGGCAGGCCCGGGTTCAGGAGCGCGTTCGACAGCGCCGGGTTGAGCACGTTCGGCCGAATGTTGGCCGCCTGCTGGTTCGAGTTGAGCAGCTGGTGCGGCTGCGCCATCGCCTGCAGGTTGGCGAGCGACGTGGACACCACTTGGCCGTTGTTCAGCGCCAAGTTCACCATTTGATCGTTCGAGTTCACGTGGTTGACCGGTATCGTGAGGATTGTCTGCGTCGCGATCCCTGCGGTGGACGCGATGGCCAGTCAGATATGTTTATAGATTCGTTTTTCAAAATGGGTTTGCTTGAAGCACTTATGAGTAACAATGTTCAACTAACGTTTGAACTATAGATATCACCTGTAACGTTAGCTACAGACAAATTAGAGTGGCTAAAAGAAACATTGGATACAGGACAATGTGATAAAATTGACGGTTTTTATTGCCTTATTAATAAAATAATACTGTACTGCACAAAAAAAATTACTTTACTGTAAAATAGTCATATAGCTGCTTGAGGTCAGTTCGATGGGAAAGGTGACCTTACCAGTAGTATAATATAGTATTTACACGTTTGTATTTCATCCCGAAAGTGAGATATTCATATGTGCCATGACAGTGACATCATCTGCTACCTCAGGATATGCCTATGCTCATGGTTGGAGGTTAGGTTATTTTCCTAATACACGAGACCAAAATATTTGAAGACAAAAATTAAGTAAATTTTTGTCCGTAACCAACACTTTACTTACCCTGAGACGTGGGTATTAGAAGCTGAGCGCCTTGGATACCTTGCACCAGCTGCCCAGAAGCCAGGATGAGCTGGGGCATCGGAGATGGCATGGCTGGAGGCAGCATGTTATTATTTCCAACCGGGTTCGGTGATCCCATGCCTTTCGACAAAGAAACATATTGTTACCTAGTAACTAGCGCAGTGCGTAATAGCTGGCGCTGTCGCTGAGCTATTGGGTTAGGCGTCAGGCGTCGGAGGTTCGATTCCCAAATGGGACAAGTATTTGCGTGACCCACAGATAAGTTCTCTGTATCTAGGTGTCTATTCGCCAGAGCGGGTCGCACAAAAAACATAGATAGCGCCATTAAAAACTCTATTCAACTATTGTATAGACTTCACCAAAATGAGGTAAGGAGAGGAGATACAAGAAAAGGCGCAGAGAATCAAAATATTTGAAGTACAGATAGCAAACGGACAGAGAAAATGGTGATGTTACTCCATTATCGTTTATCTGAAAAACCGCTTCAGCAAACGATTTTATGCGTTGGATGTAAAACGTCTTGTTCGGCTTCCACTCGTCGTATAGCCGAGAGGTTAAAAGTACACAACTAAGAGGGTCTGAGGAATTTGGATAAGTACTTAAAAGCTTCTTGAATATACTTTTGCTGTGGGTTTTAATACAACTATTTTAGAGATTTCATCGCGTTTACTTTTTGTTACTTCTAATGTTAGCTTGCTTTCGTTTTTCCTTCTGAGATGTTTGACGCACTGATGTTCATAATATTAAGACGCGTAGCTTTTGTCTAACTCGAAGTGAATATTTTATATTTGCAACTGCTGCATTAGAGCTATTCCAAGGAATAAATCCATTTGGGAATTGTAAATGGCTAGATAATAGATGTGCTGAATCTCGTTTACGAGCCGAGGCTAAATTTGAATCATTTTCAGACGCTAACAAATCACCAAGCAAGAATGTTGAACACGTCACTAAAACATAAATCGTCCAATAAAAAAACTTCACAATTTAATACTCGAACCGAACGGGTTCATCGCCCCCGAGTAGCTTTATTCATTTAATACAAAACGATTATTATGTCTGTTGACCATTACTAATTCATAAAGTGCTTTGTTGAAACCGCTTACGAGTGTTTAAATATTACATTCGACTCTTGCAACTTAATAAATTCCATTAAACAATAATGCGCGTTCGCAGTTCATCAGCCGCAACGTGTGAAACTTAGCTTTGTTTCGTGTAAGTTATCGGGCGCGTCTCTAATCGCTAGCTGTGCTCACATTTGCCGCGAAAAAATAAAGATTATTTGATTACGAGCCCCATCGGTCACAGTATCTGTTACGCGACGGAGCGGACTATTTACCACAGAGGTCCGCCTTTCCGCGCGGGTCGTTAGTAACGATAAAATAATACGGTTTAATTACAGAAACACGCGGCACGCAATAAAGCACCATGGGGAATTACACAAAAGTCCATCGGCAACCGAGCAAGACTAATTCCCGCGCGAACAAAACGGGCAACCACCAAAATCTAAAACACTATCAGCACGCCTTACAAGCCCGTTAAACTCGGCATTAACATAACGTATTCATTTAAACCATGACATTTCACATTTTGTAATAAATGCTCTTCCCCGCGGCGCATCAATTAACAGCCGGGGAAAAAATTATAATTAGCTTTATTAAGACAATAAAACTCTTAATGATACCGCAACACGGGTAACGTCCGTGCGTTCGTGAAAAACTATATAATTATACTTATTATCGAAATAGTTTTTTTTTCGCCCCGCCGAGGCAGAGCTTTAATGGGCCGGGCTGGTGGGGCCGCTATCTCTCTTTAATTAAATCGATTGGTTTCGGTAATCGCCTAATTACGAGTCGCGTGATGCCCGAGTCAAGAGTTTTAATGCACGAATCGTGTCCCGTTGATTATTCCGATCCGTCTAATTCCGCCTAATTAGTGGGCTACCCTCGTGGCGGGCGTGCGGCCACTCGTAATGGTTAATGCGGCGAAAAACTGGCGAACGGCCGGCCCCCGGAGGAATTGGCTCCGAAACTGCGTAAATACCACCTGAACTCTCGGACTAGGCAATGAATGACACTTGAAGACATATTAGCCTAATAAAAGAGAAGCAAAACTATTTCCGCTTACTGACAGGAACTCGGGTCGTTTTTGTTTCGAATGTAAACTATTAATCTTGGTTTGTTATAATGTGAGTAAAGGTTCACTATAAATTGAATATAATAATAGTAGATTATAGATAGAAGACTCAGGTTTCGAGGGGACTTTCACATTGTTGTGTTCTGCAAGTCGATGCATGAGTTATTCGTTGATACTTCACGCTATATTTATTACAGCATTTAACATGAATTATTGTCAACGTCTATTGCTATAATGTGCACAGAATTACAGATGTATTTAGGTATCGTCTAATCTACCTATAACAGAATGAAATCACATTAAACTAATAAAATGAAGATGTTAAAGTTAAGCTCCCTGTGTCAATTTTAGGTAAAGAAAATTTTTTGCGATAGAATAGATAACATGTCATTAGATATTACATCACATTAATTTAAAATGTAATAAGATGAAAAGGCACGAAATAACTTCAAATATATTTTTGTTTTTATTTGATCTTTACCGTTGTGTTAGATATAAATATGCAAAAGGATCCAGGCAAGTCAACGTTATTCCTTTATGATTTTATGTAAGAACAAACTTTTTTTTTGGTACAAGCAAAGTCACCTTTTGGTAGTCCTTTGAATTGAAACGACTATAATTTGGTTATGTGAATTTTCTTTTCGGTGCATAATCATTAAAGCATCCTCATTACATGCAAATGATACGAAATTTAACTGAATTACTGAGCGATAAAAAATTGTAATTAATTTTTAATATTTTCTTTAACCGTGTTACGTGTACAATATTTATAAAAGACTGCATCCGTATAATTAATATTGGAACGCAAAACTTGGATTTTATTATAATTGCTTTTCTCTCCATCCGTATGTGTACATTAATATGTTCAGGTCAGTTTCACGAAAGAGCAAATTTATTAGCGATGATCCCCTTCTAGTTATAAGTTGACCGTAAAGTCCAATAGCTCTTTTGAGTGACACTATACAAAAATTATTAATACTAATGAGGCTCGCTAATATTGGTTAATGATAAGTCCTTCTTACCCTATTTCTGACAGATCTACTCTACGTATTCATAATCACGAGAAGGAAATGAACCTCGATTCATGTTCTTTTGACGATCATGCAAGCGTACAAAGAGTTCGAAACGTTTGAAGAAAACATAAAACGAATTTTAACGCAACTAAATTCATAAAACAGTTTCAAAAACTTTTGTTTGTTAACTGTGGTAGGGCCAGGCAACAGTCTTCGCTGTTGTATGAATGGGCAGGTCCACACAGAAGACCGGCGGAAGTGTTACACTTCTGCTTTTTGTCTGTTGAGTCAGGCAGCCGGGGCCCAATATATTAAAAGGTTGCAAGACATCCTCAACTCTACAGGTTGGCGATTTGTTGCCAAAATGTTCATGGGCGGCGGTTATCACTTAACATCAGTTGCAATGCCAGCTCGCTTGCCATCTTCTCACATAAAAAAGTGTGTGTGTAGGTACTTATGTAATATATACGCTAATAAGTACACACATAATTATTTGTGTACCTATAAACGAATTTAAATTAAAAATAAACGCGATAAATCCTTTCGTTCATACTTATAAACGTCCAAGTCATGAATTTTTTTTTCATAAAATGGAATTATTGGTAAATGCCAAAAAGTTGCTATTGGTTGCCATAGTGATGCCGTGAAGTTGGTTGCGATCTCCGAACGAGCCAGAAGAAGCATAACTTTGCGATATATGTGAACCAAGACTTCTGCTTACCTGGCGCGCTGACGCTGAGATTGAGAGGCGAGTTGATGACCGGGTTGGAGGGCATCGAAGTCAAGCCCTGCAAGTTGGCGGCCAGCTGCGACATCTGCTGGGACATCTGCTGCGACATCGGCGGCATGTTCTGCTGCATGTTGGCCAGGTTCTGCAGGTTTTGGAACATCGTCGCCACTGCGGGAGAATCGTACCTGTCAGTATTGGGGTCACGGGAACATGGGAAACTGTTTGTTTGAAGAGCTAAACTTTTATCGCTATGTCAGCCGATCAAATAACTAAAATTGAACGTATTTTTATAAATAGTCAATTGCGTAAGGCGTTAAACTTCACGGTTCCTTATAAAGAGCTAAGAGCCAGAGACCTGTGCGAATTCAAATTTCATAAAAGAAATTTGAACTGTGTCTTTTTAATTCGATAAAAACCAATTATTAGCTGAGCTGTTAGATTCTGGTAAATTGTGCGACAATGAGACAATATACGCTTAGCCCGCTTGACCGATAAAGATTTTCATACGCTCATCGCTCATTACAAGAGTTGTAGGAAAAATCTACATCTTGATCGTTATTGATATCGATTATATTCACTGGCTGCAACTGCGCACATCACTATTCCGGCTGAGAGAGACTGATTAAAATATGACAAACGTACTTTGATACGTTGAGACTTTTATCGGTGTGGCAATCGACCGTTCGGCTTATTGGTTAAAACCTCTGTGAGAATCCGGAAGACGTGGGTTCGATTCAGAGGCCGAAAACTTTCTTAATGTATATTTTTTATTCAATTTTTTATATGAAAGCATCTTTATCGGGAAACTCTATTATAGTATAGTGCATAAAAATGTCGTACAAACTCTCGACAATCATTTCGTACGGTTTCTCTACAAATTTTAATATGAAAGCATCTTTAGTGGGAAGCCTTATTATAGTATATCGGATAAGAATGTCGTACAAACTCTCGAAAATCATTTCGTATGTTTTCTCTACAAATTTCAATATGAAAGCATCTTTATTGGGAAGGTTTATTATAATATAGGATAGGATCGGATAAAAATGTCGCATATATACTATAGCGGATAAGAATGTCATACAAACTCTCGACAATCATTTCGTAAGTTTCTCTACAAATTTTAACATGAAAGCATGTTTAGTGCGAAGCTTTGTTACAGTATTTAATATGAAAGCATCTTTAGTTGGGAGTTTTATTATAGTATAGTTGATAAGGATGTCGTACGAACTCACTGGAGCCATTCAAGTGCGGCTGGTGGGGCGTGCGGGCTCTCGGCGATGGGGACCTGGCCTCGGCTAGCTGCCGCCCGCCACCCTCAGGCGAGCTCGCGCCGCTTTCGCGATCCGAATCCGCCTGCTGAAAGAACAGCCATCAGCACACCTTCTAGAACGTTCTCGGTGCGCCTCGCACCACGATAGATCGTTTAGAATCGATAGAGTAGCGAACCAAACGGCGACTAAGAACAGTCGTATCAGCACACCTTCTAGAAAATTCGCGGTACGTCTCGCACAACGATTGATCGTTTAGAATCGATACGGTGGACCAAACGGTGACTGCGCTAAGTATCCAAAGATATATGATATATTTGATATTAATATGTCATTTATTATTAAATTTTTAATGGGTACAATCGGCCCTGTCCGAAAAGCGGACCATTTTGAATGAGAAACAGAAAACTTTTTAATCAAGGAATTTGCGCACGTTGTTATCAAAGGTAATCAATGTAACAGACAATGATATTTGCCTTCTTAGCTGTCGGGAATTCCTTTGAAAGTAATTTTTAAACTTAAAAACCGTTGAAATAAATAGTGTTCAATTTTTATGTGGTCGAAAAACATACTCTACGTTTTCATGTAGGTGGAGCCTCGAAGCAGACTGCTATTGGTGAAATGGGCAGAGTCAATGCACCATCACCTCACAGAAGGATAAAGAAGTAAACTAATAGTACGATGGTGTGGAAGTATCATATGTTTGCGTTTCATCCCGATGTTCAGACGCCTCTTAAAGGTCGCCAACGCATTCGCTCCAACAGCTATTTATTTGATTGCTATTTAAGTTCTACCTACATTTCTTTTTACGTGGGAAGGTAGCAAGCGAGCTGTTGGTTCACCAGATGTTAATAACCGCCGCCCATGGACACTAGCAATACCCAGGGACGCTATTACCGTATAAGCGTTGCCACATTTGTTGCCACAGCGACGACAGCTGCGTGGCAAATACCACAGTAAAATTTTCAACATTTTTACGCATTTATGAATATGAAATTATTAATTGTTTAAAATTATCTTCAAGAAGATAAACAATCCGACATAATTAACATGCGTGAAATAAGGTGTGCGATCGGAGAGATGGAAATTTCCACCCTCAGCTATGAAATGGTAGCGAATTCGTATTTTAATGATCATTATGAGTTTTTTTTTCTATTTTATTTTCATTCAATTAATTGATGAGCACCGTTAAACAAATAAGCCGTTATTACGGTTTGTGGATCTCAATTGGTTGTCGATTTTGTTACTTCTACCTCGCTAATATTAAGCAGTATCTAATTATCTAATGATATTAAATAATTTTTGTTGACGTTATGTTTTAAACAGCCATAGTTAAGTGATAACTATTTTATTTTTATTCTATTTAGCATTTAAATTAATTTGAAAACATTCGTTACGTTCCCTCTTGTTTTATACACACATCCAGAATATACGTATCCGAGTTTCTTTATTCCATCATAACTTTTAAATTACCGAACAGATTTTGAATGTATGGGTTGGCGTTATCAGAGATGGGTTTAAATATGCGGGATCCGTAGCATTAGCTACACTTGATACGTGGTTAATCCCGTCATTGCTCCTTGGCATCAAACATCCAGAAACGGAACAACTGCCTGTGGCTCACACAAATACTTGCCCCATGTCGGAATCGACCCACGACCTTCACTGCCGAAGCTTATCAACTGTGCAGTAAAAGCATATCAACTGCGTTACCGAGTAATCAAATTTTATTATAATGCGATGAATCTTAGTATAGCTACCATTTCTAACGTTTCGACACCGCGTCGGCAGTTTTGTAAAAGATACACTGATAAATGTTCTCTAGTCTCAGGAGGATTTGCAAAAAATCTCCGCCGCATTTCAGGGACCGGTGTTAGGCTCTTTGTGAAACTTATTTGACGTTATTCTTCCTAATTGCAATTAAAACCAATACGATTAATTGTTTGACTTATCATTGTGTCAAAATTATCTTTCAAGAGTCATTTGAAACTAATGTTGAAGTTGCGGTATTATTCAACTGACATCTAAATTGCATTCTAAATAAGCTATACCGTTAAAATATGTGTATCACTTTAATGCCAAGATCATGGAGTTCAATTAAACCTTGTGGTCTTCATGCTTGTCCAAATAGAATCGACGATAACAATACTTAACTAAATCTAATCTTCATTTGTTCGGTTTTGTGATAAAAATCGCTCGCTCTTACAACGGCAAGGCATGTGCGGCGGTTATCACTTAACATCAGGTTAACCGCCAGCTCGCTTGCCACCGTCTCACATAAAAGAAGTGGAAGTATTAAACTTTCGCGTTTCGACTGGTGAGTAAGGTAATAGGGGCCCATTTTTTAATGGTTGACAACGCATCAGCATGTCCTCGGGTGTTCCAGATGTCCACGGGCGGCGGTTTTCACTAACGTGTGAACCAGCTCGCTTGACAACTTTTCACATAAATAAAAATTAAAAAAAGAATAATTACTTCTTCATTCTACATCATTTTATAAGTCAACACAAACAATTTTTATCAAACGCAAAGACATAATGCATGTAACTCGAAGGCCATTCCGGTTTGCCTGTAATTATTACAGCCATTAAATACAGTTTATTAAATTACCTCAAGGAAATGCTGTGATATGTTAATTTGTAATAAAATTACACCGATTATATAGGTAGTATGTTAAATTAATATCTATAAGTTATTAGAATATGTTTACAAGTTCACCTTGGTGGTGTCCATTAAATTCATAATTATCTCAAAACCGAATGTCAATCAAATGCAGAAACGTATTATGTTTTATTCGTAAATAACAATGATTTAAGTATTTATCAATCAAACTAATGAAGTTTTATCACCTTAATTGTATTCAAATGTCATAATTTGTTTTCATTATTGCCTTAATAATTAATAGAGATAAGGAATTTTGTTATTTCAATTTATTGGTAACCAGTTTCGCAACCACAATGCTGAACAAGTGTTTTTAAGTGAATGGGAAGACATAAACGACTAAAATAAATTTAATTGCATAAATTTACGAATGACTTGCGCGTCTTGTGACATATTTCGTAAAATTAAATTTATGTTTTTCAATTTCTTCTCGCTTAATAACTATTCTTTTAAAGAATTATTTAACGAATTATGAACAGATTTAGTAGGGTGTTTTTCAATTAGTCATAAAATTAAAGAGCGAGTCCTTTAAGAAATACTCACAAAGGACAATGTCATTCTCTTCGTGTGTGCTGGAATTTTCGCTTTATCGGTGGCTCTATCCGCTTCGATCACCGACTCGTCATCCCTCGAAAAATGCCCACAAACTCGCGCGGATCGCGTAACTTTGCAAAAACTTCGGCCGAACTCCGCTCGACCGATGAAAGATCCCTCATTCACCACCGCGAATAACGTTCGCAGATAACGTTCCGCAATTGCAATCGGCCAATAAACAACCGAACTATTAGCGCAATCGAACGGCAATGTAAAACTTTGCGCGCGGAAACACGTTTTTTTTTCTAAACCGACCGAAGTATCGCCGGCGATAAAAGTTGCGCTGCCCACTGTTTGTCAAAACTTTCACGAAACGGATAGTAGCTGTGGATAGCGGGGCGAGGAAACGGCCACTATCTGCGGCGACGCGTCCACGTACTCCCGTTTCTTTTTTTTTTACGCGGATTCTTTTTTTTTAATTTATTTATCGACAAGCCGGGCACACATACAGCCGCGCGGCGAGTTGCACGGCGCGGAATGAAAGCGCGTCATCAGTTTAAAAAATCAACCCCTTCGGTGGTGGGTCCGGAAAAAATGCGGCCCCCCCTCGGCGGGGTGGCGGGCGGTCCCCGCCGAAATCCTTGCCAAAGCGATATCCATCGGCCCCACTTGTCACTTGTCGAATGGGCATGATAATTAGATTTGTTGATTAGTGTTTTAATTGTGCCCCGCTTCGTCCCTTTGCGCGGGGCATTTTTGCTGTTTCTTAAATCTTCCGTGATACGTAATGTCTAATTTGTAGGCCGCTTGGGAATATAGCACATCTGATATTACGTGATAAATTCGCCGCCTTTAACCGGTAGAATGTAGTGTTGACATATAAAACTCCTTAATCGCGAAACTTTTCTCCTTTTTTTACATTACCTTTTTAATTATTTTCGGCCATGACTTTAACTTAAGGTTCACTAGGAGTAATTGGTATTATAACAGAATTATTTATTTCTTTTAAACATCTGAAACTTTACGCGACTTGCTAATTTTATAGTACGTTTTCAAACTAGATTATCGCGGTCATTCTTTTACCGAGAATAGAATTTTTGTAACCAACTTAGAAATAAAATAACAGATCAAAATCGATCGGAGTCGTTTCAATACGTTCACAAATTACGAGCGACGGAATCAAACTGACGTTTTGAAGTCATTTTTAGAATGAACCGTTATTTTATTTTGCGGTTTTCGATTCGTTACTAAATCGACCCTATATGATTTTGTATGAAAGCAATAACATTGCACTTTTAACTTTTGTTTAACAGCTTTCAAAACGTTACACTTTGCACCAATTTATCGGACGTAGTATAGCCAAATGCAAATCGCTTGTTTGTTCAATGCGATTCAGTCGAACGAAATTAAAAATGTGATAAGATTGCCTCGCGTATGACACGGTTATTCCATATTTACGCGTCAATGTTAAAATTATCACATTAAAACGGGTACGTTGCTAATGAGTGGCAGGCTCAAGCAAACGTAGTGTTTAGCTGTTACGGAACTCGTCGGGAGCGAGTTCCGCGCCAAAAGGGCACTCGAGCACGGGCGACAATGAATAACGAACGAGTGAGGAAAATTATGACCGGCGAATAACATTCGAAATAATCAGCGGTACACGGGAAAAAATCAGTAATTATTCAGATGAAGTTGGACGAGCGAAGGGGGTCCGTGGGGGCGAAGGCCGGCCAAAATAAAAACTGCGTTGCGTAGGGGCGACACCCGGCCCCCCCACGGTCTCTACAAATGTTATCTAACTGCGTTCGGTCCGCGGCGGCGCCTCGCCCGCTCCGAATTAGCTCGCGCCGTTCCGATTTCGATTCGGGCTCGATTTTTTCCCTCCGACAGTTGGTAACTGGAGCGGCCGTCGGCGGCCTCTAAGCCGGGATTCCCCGGCCGCCTCCGCGGACACGGCAGCACCTCATTATCCGGAACGCGGAGTGGGCATTATCGGGCGATCGCGCACACGCGTGCCGCGCATGTGTGTGTACGTTTTCACTCATTAATTTTAAAACGCTCCGGATTTTTTTTCAGGGCGGGTGCCGGGGGCCCGCTGCGTGGCGGCGGCAGGGAGGGGGGCCCGGTTAAAATTGGCGATGGCCGCCGGGCGGGGTGTCACCGGCGGGGGTTATTAAATAGATTGGTCCGCGGCCGAACGGAGCCGCCGATCTGCACTTGTGCCCGCGTCATTAACGGCCCGAGGAGCGGCCGTCGAGGGGATAGTCGTGAAGGGCTTGTGTGGGGCCGGGAACGCCGCGCCGATTGCGGAGCGTTCGACTTGACGTCTCAGGTGACGTGACAAACGATGCAATAGTCAAGACGGCGGGAGAAGACGCGCGGCACGGCTAGTTGACCGCACCGCGCGTACAGCCCACGCGGGCACACGCGGGCCGCGCTCCGCCGCGTAGGGGCCGCCGGGCGGGGCGTGTGGGGGGACGGAATTGTGAAAAATACTCGAAAAAAAAAGGAGGCGAAATTGTAGCAGATATATAATTAAAGCCCGACGTACGGCGACGGTGTACGCCGATGTATTATGCAGACGCGCTCGGGTGTCGCGACACGGTGTGTACGCGCGCCGCGAATCGGACCGACATCTGTACGCTGTTGGGGGTCCTATTGCGTTTTTGGATGCTTACGTCCAGTTTCTGAAACACTGATCATCGTAGATGTTAACTAATCAGCTGTCAAATGGATTGTCAAATGTTATTTGAGTTGCCAAAACTAAACTCTTTTAATTGATTATTCTGATCATTAAGAAGATCATTCTGATCAATTCAGAGAGTTTAACAATCCTTTTGGCAACTCAAATGACATTTGAAAAGGCATTTGACAGCTGATTAGTTAACATCTACGAAGATCAGTGTTTCAGAAACCGGGTGTTAGAAGTGTGGCTTATCGTTTCGATGACGTTCTCAGCGTGCGACCATCGACCGCAAAGATTCTGTCGAAGGGGACTTAGATACGCCGAACCCACTGGGTCCCGCCGGATTACACTACACCCACAGTTAGTGCAACAACAAACACACTAGTTCGCCCTCGCCTCCGACCACGGCGAGACCAATACAACGCGTACACAAGGTACACCCGCGTTCCGGGGCGGTTCTCACCGCTCCCAGCCACCGCTTAGCTAATTTCACAGTCGACGGCCATCGGGGTTTCGGTCCGAACCGCGACCTCGATGGCCCTTAGATGACACACCATACTTAAACGCACGCATGAGCACATGCGCGGCCCTACCCACAGCGGAGGGCCCAAACAAGTGGGTTCTGGCTAGTCCACCGCTTCTGCGTCAGATGAATCTTTACTACTTGTCTTGGGATTGAAAGCAAAAACATCAGTTAATACAAGATACAAGAAGATTCTTATCCATAATATTGGGAGCTCTTCAACTTTTTAGCTCGATTGGGCTTAATTATAATTTTGATAAGTTACGACAGACATTGATCACGTTCATATTAGATTAGACAGAAAGTAATGAGACTGGTAGTTTTGCGGCCGCAGCAATCTTTAATTGGCATTAAATTCATATATCTTCAATCGAAGACTTGTAAATGAGCTTGTAAACTTGACAAAACCTATCTAATCCTACTTTTAAATAAGCACTCTGATTACGCCTGATTAACCGATTTAGTGGAATCAAGTTTTATCTCAAACACTTCACTACTTTATTTTGAAAACATTTAAACGATTTTCGTGAAAAAATAATTAAGACAATAGGTAACAAACACTCAATGATACATTAAAGTTATATAGATTGAAGAAATAAGTTCTAAACGGAAAAAAAACACCAGTCTAAAAAAATACTTTCCTGTAATGACAAACATACATAAAACATATTTATGATTGTTATTTTTATTTTCATGATCAATGTCATCATCCTAAGTGCGCATCATTTCACTAAGATGCTGTTTAGCCGGATTAGCATTCCATAATAATGAAATAACTTACCACAAAGTCCCCGCATACGAAGTATTTATTATTTGACAATGTCTACTAAAAATTTCTTTTGGATTTATTTAAAATTCAATGAACACGGAAATCAGAAAAGGTTTAGTCACTGACAGTAAAGTAAAATAAAGTTGGAGCCTATATGAAGTTCCACAGCTGGGCAAAGACCTTTTTTGTACATAGGGTATTAGGACATAGTCCACCACGCGACTCCACTGTGGATTGGGGATTCACACATCTTCAAAATATTTATTTTTGTTATTATTTCTAAAATATATAGTTTCCTCAATGTGTTTCCTTCGCCGCTGAGCACGCGATAATTAAGCACTGAAAATTAACAATTTCATTTGTGCCGGCACCGGGGGTCGAACTCAAGTTGCCCGAGTATATTGAATTAAAAACAAGCTCCCAGACTACTTTATTCACTGAGCTATTACTACTTTAGTCACTGATACATGTATTTCAATTTATAAACCAATGTGATTAGAAAAGCTATTGTGCTAAAATTGAGAGGGAAAAGTAAACACGTCAGTTCAAGGGAAAATAAACCGTGACATAATGTAATAAATTTAAACAGCATGGTGCTTGCAAAATGTTCAGTAGTCTTGAAACGTTTCTCTATAAAGCGGTGCATATAATATGTTAATGTTCAGTCCTGTTGAAACAATCAATTCTCTTTAAATCATTATTGTGCCCACTGCACAAAGGCAGATCTATATTTACGTGACTGACAGTATTCTTTAATAATAGTACTTTATTTTCCATAACTCAAAAAAATACTTAGAAAAGATATGAACAAAAATAAGATATAAAATAAAACTATAATAAAAAAAAAACATAAATAACATTTGAGCAAAAAGGTAATAAGTTCAGCGATTTCTAAGATAAGTTCTCAGTGTTGGTTTTCGGCTTATCCTTTACCAATATCGTTGAAAAGTGGGAAGCATGACGATCTCTTTCGACCTCGTCGAGTATCAGACGTGTGAGGCCATTAGAATATAAAATGTGTATTTTTATGTTCACTAGAAAACACAATAAATGTTGTTCGGGGGCTAACATAACTTTTATTTGTACATCGATAACTCTATGATGAATCGTTTCTTATCTTTCATGTGACGAAAAACTTCCTCAATTTATTATCATAAGTTTTTTCAACCGGATCGATTCGCACTTTCGTACTATTCCAAGTACCCGGTTGGCATAGTCGCTGAGATAAATTTGGCATCGCTGTTTGTGGGTTTGAATCCCACCTCGAACAATACCCGTATAACCTGCAGAACCATTGTTCCACATTTGAGTGCATAAACCAGTTTAATTTTCGTTTGTGAAACGTCTCTAGAACAAAGCAATGTGTTATCCAACAGAAGTCGAGGGTAAAAAAAAAAAGAATAAAAATTCTACGCTACAGATAAATATAGGGTATATTCAAATTGATATTCAAACTGTCGCTTAACCTGTATTAGCCTCCGTCAGAAGTTTCATTCGGAGACACAATGTAGTTCTCTGAAACGTAAAGATTTAATCTATGTAAATTTAAAAAAAAATGTTCTCAAATTTATACGGCAGTCGAACAAAGCAAATTTCGATCTCCAAAATCATAATAAAAGGCACTTCCCGTATATTACAAATAATGCTTTAATGAAATTCATTGTTACCTCAAGAGCACATCTCGATGTATAAAACGACCGCGGGGGGGCAATCGCTGAGTCGTTCGACACACGACAGATGGCTAGGAGGGGGGCTCACGATTAATTTAACATTAAATTCAATAACAACCTCCCATTTATTGCGTAATTTCCTTCCAATTACCTTTAATTTATCGTTCTGTAACGAGATTACGCCGGTGATGAGTTCTAGAGTTTTTGTCCCGTGCCTCGTTAGCTTGCATGCGTAGATGTTTATTAATTTTCGATTGCATTACAACCCTATTTCCTCGCGTTAAAAATTCAAATTGTCATTCTGATTTGAACTTGAACTGTCGCCGAGCCGGTAAATTGCTTATTAAACGCCCAAATGTAAACAAAAATTAACAGTTTTTGGTTTATTGTTCTTAATAGTAGAGTGTATGTAGAATGACGAAGTTAGTAAGTTATTTAAAATATGATTTTTTTGTAGATATAATGTTGAAAAGTTCTATCTTGTGTGCAGAGACGAGGAGTAAAACTTTATCATACATTTAAACGGTATTAATTTTTATAGTAGTGTAGATTTCATGCGTGATATCTTTATGTGTTTTCTTTATAGAAAACAACCAATTTTACTTATATGACATCTCACTATGAAATATTTGAAAACTATTAGAGGTGTCCTTTCCTATTAAAATTTAAATGATATTTGCATCATGATTAAAATCATTTAACATGGATATCAATTTTCATTTTTATATATTCTACGCACCTGAGGTGATATTTAAAATTTATAAAAAACTTTTCATCCACTATTAGATTTCCACTAAGGAATCGCAACAGACGATACCAAGAATAATGCAATAAAAACGATGTAGATAAACACGTCGAGTTTTTTTTTTCGGTGTAAAGAAATTCCTTTTAGTGTAGTGGTTAGAGCGTCGTGCACGTAATCCGGAGGACTTAAGTTTAAATACTCGCAGCGGCGAAAAGCTATTGGTCCGAGTTTCTACATATTTTAATCATAAATTTCAATATCAAAGCGACATGTCAAGACATTCAAATATGCTTTGTAATATTAATGTTATCCTAAAAGTTTAGGCATGCTGTAAAGTTTGGACACTAGATGGCGCCAAGCAGCGTAAAAAATGCAATGAATGAATTAGACAGAAATCGAGCTTTTCGCGTCACATCGGCCGTTTAGCTAAGTACTTAGAGCGTCTGAGCGCGTCACTCGGTAAGCGCAGGTTCTAAACCGGCAACGCCAAAAATTTTTCGACAATTTTTCAACAAAAAATCATGTTCGAAGTTAAAAGTACAGAGACTAGTACTTAAAATTAAATGAATTATATTTATTATATTTTTAAATGGATATGAATAAAATAGTGAGTCGTGTTATTTCCAACCTTTTTGTAAGACTCAGATCTTACTTAGAACAACAAACAACATACTATGCTCATCAAGGTTATCTTGGAAAGGAATACTGAAATGAACTAGGCTCGAACCGACTGAACTCGGCTAGAGCAACTTTCACTAATACATAGAGTGGAAATATTTACATAGTAGTTTTTATTTAATTAACTGCATCTTCGAATTCCACTCCGACAAAGTCAATGATCAATCTCAATCAACGTCTAGATCAATGAATGAATCTAAAAGCAAAACCTAATAAAAATATTATATAAAAATAAAAAATCGAATCGTGGAGTCCTAATGTGTCAAT